GTTTTCTTTTCTTTTATTTTGTTTTGTTTTTTCTATATATGCTATTTTGGTTTTTTTGTTGTTTAGATGGATCGAATTTGAATGTTGAGGTATCACCTCTTTTTTTTTCTTTTTTGCTCTTTGTTTTTGTATCTATACTTCAATTTGTAAAAAGAAAAGATGATACTGATATAGCATGTGGCACTGACCAATGATTCAAGGATTCATGCCTCTAGTAAGTTAGAGGCCTGGAGGGAGGTAAACGGCCACTAGGCGATATTGAACTTGGGCTTTTAAGTCAAGTGAGTCACTTGTTGTGGTCAAAAAAATAACTATAGTTAGGAATTCTTGTAATTTTTTACTTAATTAATGTTTTAAAAAAAAAAGTGGCAAGACATACCGAAAAAAAAAAAAAAAAAAAATATAAACTAATGAGAATATAACTTAGATATAATTACATATTTTAATAGATTAATAGGCAATTTATGAGATATTTAGACAAAAATTTTTTTTATATATAAATTTTATTATAAGTCTAAATATGCAATACTTCTAATTAAAACTTTTTTTTAACTCTTAATTACAATTGTAGAGCTCATCAAGGTGTATTTAATAGTAGTAAGAATATTAAAATTGGTTTAGTAGTTCTTGAGAAATTTTTAAAAAACTTTTTTCATATATAAAATTTTTAAAAAAAAATTTATATATGAAAAAGAAGTTTTTTAAAGATTTTTCAAGAACTACTAGGCTAATTTTAATGTTCTTACTACTATTAGATGCATCTTGATAAGCTTTACAAAGATTTTTCAAGAACTACCAAGCTAATTTTAATATTTTTACTATCATTAGATATATCTTAATAAGTTTTACAATTGTTATTAAAAGCCCAAGAGTGATTTATTTAATAAAAAAAAAGTTTTAGATAGAAGTGCAGCACTTTTGGGCTTATAGTAAAATATATATATATATATAAAAAATTTTTGTTTAGGTATCTCGCAGATTGTCTATTAAATTAAATATACAAAACTGATCTAATAACAAAAATTTAAAAATATAAGCAATATTTTATAGATATATATAATAAATAGAAAGATTAGTATAAAAATCTTCTTGTTATTTGAGATTTTGAAACAAAATTTGACTTTTTCTGTATAGTAAATAACACTATACTATACATATAGTATGAGATAATTTGGCTATATAAATTACTAAATTTATTATAAACAAACCACAAACAATAATATTTTATTTTAGTTAATTAATAATATCAACTGCTTTAGAAAATTATATGTTGATCTTTTAGAGAAATAAACTAAAATACCTACTTTTTAACAAAATTTTTTAAAAAAAATAATAAGTTAATAAAACTTTGTAAGATTTTCTTTATAAGTTTTATAGTTGTATAAAGATAATTTAAAGTTTTTAATATTCTTAGTATTAATCTAATCATTCTGTATTTCCAAAATATCTTTCTGGTTTAGATACTGAATATAATAAAAGAATCTACTTTAGCAAAGTTTAACTTCTACAAAAACTATCTAAAGTAGTTTACTTCTTAATTTTATACTCTTGATACTTTATTAACAACATATTTATTTATATAGAGTCAAGTTTATTATCAATTTTGGTGTCTTCTATAATGTTTTTTCATAGTTTAATTTTTTGGACTTGTTAACCAGAAATTGTTGGAAAGAGTTTATTAACTAAATCAAGTATTATATTAAGTTAATTATATAAAAAAAAATAATAATAAATAAATGTTTTTAACAAGACTAGTAATATTTAATCAAGAAGTAATAAAAACAAATTCTTAATAAATTAAAGATTTTTGGACAGGTCAAACTTAAGAATTTATACTAAGTAAGTCTTTATTAACAATAATAAATAAAAAAACATATACAGTATATGTTTCTAATACTGTTTAATAAATATAATAAAGACAAAATTATCAAAAAAAAAAATTGTAATTGAAAAACCTTTAGAAGTCCATATAAATTGTTAAAGATGCGAAGCAAAACCTTATTTTAAAAAAATATAGATAGATCAAGTTTAAAAAGTGGATAATCGGGCTTGTTTTAAATCCAATAAATTAACTTTGTATAACCTTATCGTTATCAAATGGTACGTGCTAGAGTTTGGAACCGGTTTTATTTTTCATATGTTAAAACAGGTTTTAATCGGTTTTAATATATGAAAACTAAAACCGGTTCCAAAGATAACTCGTGATTGATTTTATAGAGAATTGAGGTTTTTTTTCCTTGAAAATGACCTTATGGAATAGTAATTGCTGTCCCCATGATGTCATTTTCAAGAAAAAACCCTTATTTACTGAAAAAATATTTTTAATGAGATGTACAAGGCACGCACATACATGTGTAGTATCATAGCCTTCATCTAAAGAATCAATGTCATATTAAGATATTGTTTTCTTAAATTTATCGTTATATATACGTACATGTCGATACAGAGAACCATAATCTTATCAATGACCTATGAAATAGCAATAATAGTAATGATTTTAGGTTAAAATAAGAGTAATAACTGATGGTTACATTTGCCATATGATCTCGGAGTGTAGCTTACGTATCAGTATATTTTACCTTAATAAATTCGATTAGAGTGCGTGACTTAAAAATGTACAAATCTACCAATTAATTGAAAGTTTCGTGAAACCTCACTCAGTAACCTTGGCTTTATTCTAAAAATCGTCTTAATCTGCGCTTTTGGTGGTTGCAAAGCAGATGTGAGTTTATCATATATTATAAGCATAGGAAGGACAAAATACCAAATACCAGCCATATCATTATTAATCTTCAAAGTCCTATATATCCTCTCGGACTTATATAGCCTCAGCACTATTACCTATAGTGTCGTTTATCTCCATTTCCGTTACCCCCTTATCCTTTAATCCCCTTCAATTTTCTTTTTTTTTTTGGTTCCCTATAGGTCTTTATCTTTGGGTTCTCGTTAAATCTTGGTCCTTAGTCTGTTTCATAATACTTAATAATCATGCAAACAATAAAATGTGTTGTTGTCGGTGATGGTGCTGTTGGCAAGGTAAGCAATAAGCATACCTTCATTTTTTAATCAACTACAACCCAATTTCATAACGAGTAGAGTCGTTCTTTTGAGAAAGTGCTTACGATTTCTTGCTTTTGTCGATCGAAATTGTAAAGTTTTCGGGTAATAAATCTGGAAACGACCTCATTTAATCAATACATTCGTATATAGTAATGTATATTATATAGATTGTATAAAGTTACATTGTAAAAGAAAAATAAAAAAATTAATCAGTCATTTAAGAAGAGAAAAAATTATTTGAAACATCTTAATACTTTTTAATTCTACTATACTAATGACTCTTATTTTATTATTATATCTTTGGGATTTACTGATGTAGACGTGTCTTTTAATCTCTTACACAACAAATAAATTTCCGTCTGAGTACGTTCCTACGGTAAGCATTATTAAACGATCGAAATATTAGTATCTTGTAAACGTTCATCGTTTTAATGTTTCTTTAATTTCATCTAGGTTTTTGACAATTATGCCGTTACAGTCATGATTGGCGATGAACCGTATACATTGGGTTTGTTTGATACAGCTGGTGTGTATCCCTAAAGTGAGAAGTTATGTCATCTTGATTCTTTGAAATTAATTATTAAAACACTTAATTCTTTATATCATACATATCCTTTCGTTAATAAACGATATCATTATTTATATCGGTATTTTTCAACTGTTGCATTACTGGTGAAAACGGATAAATAGGCCAAGAGGATTACGATCGTCTCCGTCCTCTTTCATATCCCCAAACAGACGTCTTTTTGGTCTGTTTTTCTGTAACCTTACCGTTACCGTTACTAAA